AGGCAGGTCTTGAACCCGCGGGCTCAGGCAATCTACTCACCTCAGCCTCCCAAGGCGTGGGATTACAGGCTGAGCCACCGAGCCTGGCCGAAATTACAGACCTTAAAATAAAACTTGAACTTCATGCCACTGGATGGTACACTTAAAAATGATTATGATGATGGCCAGGTGCGGTGGCTCATGCCTATAATCCCAGCATTTTGGGAGGCTGAGATGAGAGGATTGCCTGAGTTCACGGGCTCAAGACCACTCTGGCCAACTTGGTGAGACCTCATCTCTACCATAAATTAAAAGTTTAGCCCAGTGTAGTGGCACATGCCTGTAGTTCCAGCTACTTGGAAGGCTGAGGTGGAAGGATCGCCTGAGCCCAGCATCTTGAGGCTGTGGTGGCCATGAGTGTGGCACTGCACTGCAGCCTGGACAACAGAGTGAGACTCCAACTCAAAAAAAAGGTTAAGATGGTAAGTTTTATGTTACGTGTATTTTACTATAATCAAAAATATTTTATTTTTAACCCTAGTAAATAATTATGAAAATTATGTATGTTCTCTTTTATGTACTCATTTTAAAAACTAGAAGAGTAAATATTATTTTAAAAAGATCAGAAAGATCAGACTTTTTTTTTTTTGGCTACTACGGTATCTCTGGCTGTTTTGATTTGTATCTTCCATCACTTAAAAAGCTGGCCAGGCATGGTGGTTCATGCCTATAATCCCAGCACTTTGGGAGGCAGAGGTGAGAGCACTGCCTGAGTTCAGGAGTTTGAGACCAGCCTGGGCAACTTGTCGAGACCTCATCTCTACAATAAATCAAAAAAATTAACCAGCCATGGTGGCCCACGCCTGTGCTTCCAGCTACTTGGAAGGCTGAGGCAGAAGGATCACTTGAGCCCAGCAGGTCAAGGTTGCGGTGGCCGTAGGTGTGCCACTACACTCCAGCCTGGACAACAGAGTATGACTCCAACTCAAAAAAACCCCAAACTTTGGCCTGGCATGGTGGCTCACATCTGTAATCCCAGCACTTTGGGAGGCCAAGGCAAGAGGACTGCTTGAGCCTAGAACTTTGAGACCAGCCTAGGCGACATAGCGAGACCTCATCTCTACAAAACGTCAAAAAAATAAGCCCGGCGTGGTGGCATGCACCTGTAGTCCCAGCTACTTGGGAAGCTGAGGCAGAAGGATCACCTGAGCCCTGGAGTTTGAGACTACAGTGAGCCGTGATCGTGCCACTGCACCCCAGCTTGGGTAAAAAAGCGAGACCCCGACTCAAAAAAAGAAAACATGAAGAAGCAGACTGGTCCAGCATGGGGCTGTATGGGGTTGGATGGTAGGAACAGATGTGGAGAGGCACAGTGAGTGGGACAGGGTAAGGCAGAGGAGTTAACCCTCCAGGTAGGCAGGTGAGGCACCATGGGGCTCTGAATGGATGGGCCAGAGTTGGTGTCCTTTTTCTCAGCTGCTGGATGAATGTTCTGAGGCCTAGGGCCTGGCTATGGGTTAAGACTGAGTTCAACAGAGCCACTGCCCATTCCGGCCCCACCTTACCCCAGGAAACGCCTCCTCACCACAGTGACCACATCCCCTCAGGTTGCCTTGGCAACAAACACTCCATGGGGGCAGGCGAATTAGGGCTCAGTTGCCCGGCAACAGGTGGTGCCCTTCCTTCCGCCTTCATCTGAGGCCAGACCTCCCTGCGTCTTTCAAGCAACCGCCCTGCACCCTCCCAGCATGCACAGGGAAGAGCGACTCTGGGAGGGAGAGGAGACTCAGGACTGACCCAAGGTGAGGTGAGGGGTGCAGGAGGTCCCTGCTGATGGGGGGGATGTGGAGGCAAGAGGGGAGGGCAGAGACAACCAAGAGAGATAGAGATGGGCCAGAGACCGGGCAAAGCTGGAGAGCTTGGGACAGATGCAGAGGTGACACTGGCAACCGGGCACAGCAGCAGATTCCATGGAGCCTATGAGAGCAAGACCAAGTCCCAAGAGGGTGGAGATGGGGCAAAGGAGCCCCAGAGGGGCCAGTGGGGGCGCTGGCAGAGGGGCACACACACAGGAGAGGAGGCCAGGAGGGAAGGTTCTCATTTCCTTACCCACCACTTCCTCTCTAGGCCAGAGCAAGATCTGAGGGGGCTGAGTTGGGAGGAAAAAAGCCCTTGGGATCTTTAACTTCTTGTCTGAGGCACCCTGGGGTCTGGGAGGGAACATGGGGCTCTGAAAAGGGTTGGAGAGCCAGGTAGGAGGCCTCGGTTGTGGCCACGGTGGGCTTTGCCTGTCCTCTGGCCCCATCTGGCCCTTGCTTGACCCTGTGCGTTTCCTTTGCTTCTCGGTCTCTCAAGCTGAATAGAGTCCCTCTGGCCTGTCTCTCTCGAGTTTTCTTGGACACTTGCGGCGTCTTTCCCTCTCTTGATTGTGCCGTCGCTGCTCATTTGCTTCCTCTCCTCCTCCCTGTGTCTCCCAGATGCCTTCGACTCCACAGCAGTCCTCCGGGCACATGGAGGGGACCCCTACGTCGGAGGCAGCCTCACTGCCCCCATTGCCCTGCGGGCCCTGTCTCCCCATCATGCTGGGCCTGGCCTCCCTCGCCGCCCTCTTCATCCTAACCACAGCTGTGCTGGCCGAACGCCTGTTCCGCCGCTCTCTCCGCCCAGACCCCAGCCACCGTGCACCTGCCCTGGTCTGGCGCCCTGGAGGAGAACTGTGGATTGAGCCCATGGGCACCCCCCGAGAGCGCTCTGAGGATTGGTATGGCTCTGCGGTCCCCCTGTTGATGGACCGGGCCCCAGGCCCTCCCACCCCCGGAGGCACCTTGGAGGCCCGAGCAACTGCCCCACCTGCCCCCTCAACTCTGCACTCTGCTCCCAGCTCCTTGGGTCCCCAGACCCCACCTGAGTTCCCAGCCCGCAGCACCTTCTGGGGACCCCAGGAGGGAATGCCCCCCGCTGTGGGCCAAGTGAGCTGGGCTGAGCCTGAGCAGAGGCCAGAGACCAGCATGCAGTTTGGGAGCCCCCAGGTTCAGAGGCAGCGACCAGGGAGCCCTGTTCCCGAGTGGGGCCTCCAGCCTCGGGTCACTCTGGAGCAGATCTCAGCTTTCTGGAGACGTGAAAGCCGGACCAGTGTGGGCTTCTGAATCCCCAGGACCCAGAGAACTGAATTCCCAGGGACTCCTGAGGAAGCCCCCACCTCAGAGGGACTGAGAGACCCCAGATTCCAGTGTCAGGGCTGATTCTGAGGCTGTCCCAGGGAAGATTCCTCTCCAAAGCCTTTTACTTCTGGATTTCAATTCCCCTGGGTCCAGGTGGTGGGCAGATCAAGAGTGGGCAGAACTGTGCTACAGGGGATGCTCAGCAGTGCTTCTGCTTAGTTGCCAGAGTTGTGGCTCGGAGACCCAGAGGTGGGGACCACTCTGGGCCAGAAGCCTCCAAGATCACATGTCGATTAAGAATCCAAGGGGCCAAGTTCGGTGGCGCATGCCTGTAACCCCAAGACTTTGGAAAGTTGAGGTGGGAGGATTGCTTGAGCCTAGGAGTTTGAGGCTGTGGTGAGCCATGATCATGCCACTGTAATCCATCCTGGGTGACACAGTGAGACCCCGACTCGAAAGAAGGAAGGAAGGAAGAAACAAAAGAAAGAGAAAGAAAGAAAACTCAAGGTCCCAGACAGGCAGGAAGGAAACAGCCTCAACCCAGACACTTCTACCTTCCTTCAGTGTTTACCTAAGATGCCAAATCAGAGTGAAAGTGTCCCCTCAGTGCCGAAGAACAGCCTGAGTATGGTGATGACAAGTGTCAATCGTGCCAGCAGGAGATGGCAAGAATCCAGCTTCCCTCCTAGGTCACTCACCCCCTCTGAAGTCCTCCAGGGAAATACGCAGAGCACACAACAAGGCACAGGAGCATTTATTCCAAATAAACCTTGGCTTGGACCTCTGAGTGGCAATGGACGAACTTGCTGAGCCAAGCTGGAGTGGCCCTCTCTTGCCTGGACTTGGGACCTAGGGTCAGAGAATAGCTCCTCTGCCCGTCATCCTATGTGTACTCATCTTTGCCCTCCGACTATCACTCCATGGTGAAGGAAGCCTGGGCCTGGGAGAACTGAGTTTGATCCAGTGTGGAAAGGAACATTGTCTCAGCAGGCAGCTCCCCAAATGCAACCTCTGACCATCTTCCCTCCCAGCTTGATGGAGTGGTCCAGAGAGACAAATTTGCTACAAGCTTACTTATAATGCTCCATCCATTGAACCGGGCCCCAGATGCTCTTGGCTTTGTAAGCCATCTGGATCAGCTGACTTTCCCTTTGGGAAAGGAGCCGGGGTGGGGGAGCAGTTGGAGTTTTCATTTCCTGAGGGTCTGATTTCCTAAATTTTAGCCGTGAATATTAGGTTTTTGCCATATCAATTTACCACCTGTACTACTTTATATTTTACTTAATATTTTTCTTGAAATTGGCTCATTATTTGCCTAATAAGCTTATTTTTTAAAAGGAATCCTTTTTTGTATCATTGCCATTAATAGAAGGTAAAACATGAAAATAAGTACAATGTAAACAAAATTAAGCATTCAGTGTTATTTCCTGCTGAAGGCATTGATCCAAAACCCTGCTCTTTGTTAAAAGAAAAGAGGTTCGATGGATCAGCAATTCAGAAAAGTATTAGACATTGTAGCACCATATTGAGACCTTATACTGCAAATGCTGAGGTAGACAGAGAGCCCTGCACAGGAGACAGTGAGCTTGTGTTGTTTAATGCTGGCCAGGAACCTCCCAAGTTCACCCACAACCAAGGAAACACTCTGTTCTTCCTGCCCAGTAGGGCTGAGGGGCCCTTGAAGCCACCCCTCCCATCCTTGACCTTTCCTCTCATCCCTTGGATGCCAGAAGTTGAAGGAGCAACCAAGGAATGAGAAGTCCCCAGGCAGAGGGACCAAGAACCCAGCCCAGGCTCTCCCCTCAGATGTACTTGTCCATCCTGTATCCTGAGCACCTTCTCGGAGCTGGGCACTGGGTGAGGGAGGAGTCAGTCTGGGCCCTGCCCTCAAAGAGCTAACAGTTTCTCTAGCGACAGGGATTGGGAGATGAAGGTCGGGTAGAATAAGACATGGACACAAAACTCCTGCAAAGTAGACATTAGGGCTCTTATCCCATCTCTGTCACCCAGGAGCTGGGTAACTATATTTCTTCTTCTTGTCACCATCAGTTGACAGCAATAAGTTGTGAGGATTCTACCCCTGAGGAGTGAAAAACCCACCAGAGAAACAGAAGAGAGATACAAGTGTTCAGGGCTTAGAACACTTAGCACTTACCAAGTGCTAAGGGGAGGCAGTGCAGTGTGGAAAGGACACCAGGGGACAAGACCTCTGGTTCCCAGTCTTGTTCTATCACCTGCTCACTTGTAGACTGCAGAAGAGTTATTTTGTATTACTGGGCCTCGTGTTCTTTTCCCTGTACAATAAAATAACTGGACATTGAAGAAGATACTTTGTTGGGATTTTTCTAGCTATGATATTTAAGGATGCTATAAAATGAAAGATAAATGGATAAGTGGATGGATGGATAGACAGATAGGAGAAGGGATGGATCATGGATGGGAGAAGGGATGGATGGATGGATGGATGGATGGATAGGAGAATGGAAAGATGGGAGAACGAATAGGTGGGTGAATGGATATGTGGATGAGTGGGTGACTAGATAAATATACACATGGACACATGAATTTGAACATGTGATCCTCCTGAGGCACAGTCCAACTTGCTATTCCCAAAGTCATCTTTACGTTCCCAGACCCAGAACATGGTCTAAAACATAATAGAAGCCCAATGAAAGGAGAACAAGTAAGGAAGAACGTTGATTAATAGATGGATTAGTTTTACCCTTTCTTCTTTCTCTTTATTTTTTATTTTCTTAGAAACAGGGTCTTGCCGGGCGCGGTGGCTCATGCCTATAATCCCGGCACCTTGGGAGGATGAGGTTAGAGGATTGCCTGAGCTCACAAGTTCAAGACCAGTCTGGGCAATTTGGTGAGACCTCATCTCTACAATAAATCAAAAAATTAGCTGGGTGTGGTGGCGCATGCCTATAGTTCCAGCTACTTGGAAGGTTGTGGCAGATCACCTAAACCCAGCAGGTCGAGGCTGCGGTGACCACAAGTGTGCTACTGTTGCCTGGGCAACAGAGTGAGACTCTGACTCAAAAAAAGAGAAAGAAACAGGGTCTCACTGTGTTGCTCAGGCTAAAGTGCAGTGGCATGGTCATAGCTCACCGCAGCCTTGAATTCCTGGCTTCAAGTGATCATGCCATCTGGGATTACAGGCATGAGCCATTACACCTGGCCCTTTCTCTTTATTTTAAACTTCTCCTTCGCTTTTGTAGCACCATCTTACTACTTTCTCATGTTGATTCCTCCTTTTATGTCTTTAACATTTCAAACATACTTGCTGTAAGATCTTTTACCCAATAATGCTTCTTTCTAGAGTTCTAGGGTGAGAGCTAACCCTGCTGTATGTTGCGTCTGATTACTTTCATTCATAACAGATTGTTTTCTCTTACATTTTGTAATTTTGGGCTGTGAAATCAGCTTCAGCAGGCCCTCACTCATGGGAATCCACATGCCCAGGTTTGAGGGCATGTCCTTTTAGAGAAGGTTTGCGTCTGCTTCTGCCAAGAGTAGATCAGGAGTATTGTCAACTTCGGGCCATGTTATTTGTTACTCTTTTTGGGGCTCCCCAGGCCATGTAGACGGCCTAAGTTTAAATCCCAAGTCCAAGTGAGGACAAGTTTTTGCTTATGAATTCTCAAAGCAATCTCCTGTTGTCACCAGATCTCAGAGTAGACAGGCAAGGTCTTTTTGTGCTCCCTGAGCTGCAGGTAGATTTTTTTCTAGTCCACTCTTTTCACTGAGGTTATTACCCTTTAAGGTCCAAGCTTTCTTTAGGGTCTCAGTTTTCTTTCTTTCTTTTTTTTTTGAGTTGGAGTCTCACTCTGTCACCCAGGCTGGAGTGCAGTAGCATCCTGACAGTCACCGCCGCCTCGACCTACTGGGCTCAGGCGATCCTTCTGCCTCAGCCTTCCAAGTAGCTGGAACTACAGGCACACACCACCATGCCCAGCTAATTTTTTTTTTTTTAATTTTATTGTAGAGACGAGGTCTCACCAAGTTGCTCAGGCTGGTCTTGAACCGGTGGGCTCAGGCAATCCTCTTACCTCAGCCTCCCAAAGTGCTGGGATTATAGGCGTGAGCCACCAGGCCCAGCTTGGATCTCAGTTTTCAACTCCCCAGGTGAGCCCTCCTCTCCAGTCTTTAAATTCATTGCCAACACCCACAACCACAGTTCTGGTGTTCAATTTCCTCTTCACACCTCCTGGAGACTCCTCTTACTTGCAACTCAGCTGTGCATTTCAAAGGATGTTTGCTTGACCTTATGCAGTACTTCTAGATGCATCATGTGGCGACATGCCTGTCAGATTATTTCATTCACAATATCATGAAAAACCAGACTATTTCCTCATGTAAACAAGTTCCAATCTCTCCCACCTTAAAGTAACCGGTTAACCTACAACGAATACTCTATTCCTCACACACAGCATGACCTCTTACCGCCTTCACAGCCACACTTTTGGAAAGAGCTGTCTATCCAACAGTCTACGTTTTTTCATCTTCCCATCACTCTGCAACCAGCTGCAGACTTCTGGGTCCTTCCAGCACCCTACAGAAATGGCTTTCATCAGAATCATGACCTATATATTTTAATCAAATGACATTTTAAAGCAGCATTAGGCATTTCTCTTTGGGAAATGATCTCTTCCTGTGGCTTCTGTGACTCCACACATGCCTGTTTTCCCTTTTTTCTCCCTGGCAATCCTCTCTTACCTCTCCTTTGCTGGCTGTCTTCTCAGAGGTCAGTCCCGGAGTACTTTCACTCTCCCTTCACACACTCTTCCTGGGCAATCTCACCCAGGCACATGGCTTCAATCGCCATCTTATACCCTGATGATCCCACATCTTCCCTCCAACTGTAGCAGATGTGGTCCCACCAGATCTATCCTCCCATTATTTCAAAGGAACAGTTTCACTATTTTTATTTTTTATTGTTTTTTATTATTTATTTATTTATTTTGAGTTGGAGTCTCACTCGG